TGGCCTCGAACTCACTGTGTAGCCCAGGCTGGCCTCAAACTCATGGCTATCCTCCTGCCTCAGCCTCCCAAGTGCTAGGATTACAGGTGTGCACCACTATACCCAGCAACATTTTAAAATCTAATGTGTTCAATTAACAAGGAATGTAATAGTATACTGTATCGGAAAATGAGATTTTTCAGAATTGTTTCAATATCAGGCTCATAATTCTACAAACTAATCTCTTCTCAATCCCATTAAGGATTTCTACAGAGGTTCATCCGAACCTTAACTGTGGGCTGGGGTAGAGCTCAGTGTTAAGAATGCCTGCTTAGTGTGTGCAAGGCCCTGGGTTCAAAATCCAGCAAGGAAAGAAAAAGAAAGAGAAACACAAAACACGTGTTTTTGCCTCTGCTTTCTTCCTTTTGGTTTTTTTCATGTTTGGGTTAAGTATAATGTTTAAGAAGAGTTGGGTGTGGTGGTGCACACCTATAATCCCAGCACTCAGGCTGGAAGAGCACCATCTTTTCCACTTTTTAACTTTCAAAACACATACAAACTTAGTAAGACAAGTAGAAGTACAGGGATGTGTAGGATCCAACCCTCAGACCCCATCCTAGGTCCACCCAGATAGTAACTCTCACAACCAGAAGGCCCGTTCTGAATCATGTGTAGCCTGTATTCCAATTTTTTGTCTGGAAGATTTCAACAACCTTTACTTGGCACACACGACCATGACACTGTGGAAAAATTACAGGCCAGTTACTCAGTAAAATACACCACCATCCAGGATGTTTGGTAGTCCCCAATTAAGACTTAGTTTTCTCACTTTTGACAGGGGAAATCACGGAAGTTACACTGCACTCCCCGGGGCATCCTGCTGGGGGCACACGGCCTCAATCCCTACCAGGACTCAATGCTGCTCCCCTTTGCTAAGCCGTGAAGCAGTTTACCCAGTTTCTCCACTACAAGTTTACTCTTTCCCTCTCTGTAATTAGTTAGGACTTTGTAGGGAAGCACGTACCTTCGAAGTCTGCGAACATCCTGTTACTCATCAAATTTCTCGTTATGTCCATTTATTTATTTGTACCCGAATGTCTCATGCTTTCTCTTTTCTTCAATGGGTTGGTCTGTCACTATCATTACTGGCCAATGGGAACCCCCTCCTGCTGCCTCCTGTCCTCTGACATGACCCCAACATTCTCTGAGTAACTTCCTTGCTTTCTGGCACAAGATGTTCCAGGCTTACATTGTGTTTACTCTGCCCCAGCCCTTAAATCTCTATGGAGAATGATTCCTATGAACAAAGCACTGGACGGCAGGTATGCACATCACTGTCCAAGCCTCTTGCTTTTGGGCCCTCTCAGTCATCAGAACTAAGACTCGAGCACATGCATACGCCTGTGTGATGTGGACACATGTGGTCTGGCCTGTGAACAGGAGGATGGCAAACGGATATGCCCCCCCCCGACCTACCATGCCTTCTTTAGAAGTAGCTTTTGGTGAGATCTGGGCTGAAGAGTCAGGGAAACTCACCACTGTACAAAGCAAATCAAATCAAACCAGAACCTGGCCTGATCTCACATCTCCGGCAGTGCGGACCTCACCTCTCGGCCCCTTCAAAGAATCCCCATGGAAGCAGCAGCTCCTCAGCACTGCAGCATGAGGCACACTTCCTTGCTCTTCCCACTCACTCATTCCAAGCAAACTTCTGTCCTCACCACACCACTGACCGCCAAGTTACGAACCCAATAATGATCATTTCTTCTCCTCACCGGACAGTGCTTATTTAATACTCCCTTACTGAAATACACCCTCCCGAGTGCTCCTCACCACTGTCCGCTGCACAATCCTTACCTCCCTAGTCCTTATCAGTCATGTCCCAGAACCCAATTCCACGATCATTTTCCATTTCCATTTGTATTAAATTCATGTCGCCCTACGGCTTTAGGCATCATGCTTTCCAACTCCAAAGTTACACCCATGGTCCTGCGTGTCCCCGGGGGCCCCCTCATCAGCCCTTGCCACCCCATTGCCACTCACAGAACTACCCTACCCTTCTTGGTGCCCCTAAGACTTGTTCCCCAGCTTCATTCACTTAGCCCTCTTCTCAGATACCACCATGCCTTCCTCCAGCTCCTATACCTTGGACTGTTTTATTCTTCTGCCAACTTGACATCCCTACTGAAGGTAAACTGGGGAAAAGACCTCCAAACTTTTTTCAATATCCTCCCCCAACTCAAATCTTTCTTCAATCTCTCTCTGTATGAAGCAGGGTCTCACTACGTAGCCCAGACTGGCCTCAAATGCAGAGATCCTCCTGTCTCAGCCTCCCAAGTGCTGGGATTACAGGAATCACATCTGGCTTTCCTTTAATTTTTTACATAAAAAATCCACAGAGAAATAGTTTACTCCTCATACTACATATTTGCACAATCAAACATTGTGACTTTTCTGTTTAAGTATTTCCCAAACTTGACCACTCATCTTCACTACTGCTACTCAAATCCTACCCTCGACCATCTGTCCACTGGGAAATTAAGAAGTTCTTAGGCCCCTGTACCGACCACCTTAAAGCAGCCTAATTACAGGCACAGGGCTTTTCGATTTTTTCATTTTTTGGCTGTTATTTGGCTTATGGAGACTGCTAAGTCACACAACACTCACACGTGACAGCAGGGAGTAGGAAGCTTCTAAGGGAAACTTTAAGACCTAAGAGTGCTGTTCCTTCCAACTTGACGGGGGAATGGTCAGCCTGCCTCAAAGACAAATGCATGCAGTCAGGGTGAGGATGGGGACCGTGTGCAAGGGAGCTTTAACCTGGCTTCTGAGAATGGCATCCCACAAGGCCCTGCATCTTCAGGTCCTAAGGGGAAACACTTCTAGAAGATATGGAAAAGCATCATCATGCTTTCAGAATATGTAACAGTACATACACTAAATAAGCCTGCTTATCTCAGGAAAGCACTATGAAGGCACCAGAAATAGCCCTGTATTGCAATCTCACGGACACTTCCTGTTCCTGTTTCCTAGACGCCCCGAGTGCGGGCCCAGAGAAGCCCAGTCTCCTGTACCCAGTGTCTCCACATATGTGAGCCTGGCCATTATTTATAGCACACTTGTCAGGGGCAGCTGTTAAAGAAGGGAAAAAGCAAGAAGCAAGAGAAAGAACATTCACAGGGATGGGAGAGGAGAAGTGTAGCAAAGCACGGACTGAACATGATATTCCGTCAAAACACTTCAGGGGGACACAAGGGCATGAAAGAAGCAAAAGCTGCAGCTAGTGATAAAAACTAAAAACAAAAAAATGAGAATCTATTCCTCCTTTTCCAACTGCAAAGTCAGTATGAGGCTTACTGATAATAACAAATTTTACAACAGCTCTAATATTTTGCAGTTAGAAAAGGGAAAATAAATAGCCAACAATGTTCATTTTTATGGTAGTTTTCTTTAAAAAATCAGCACCATCTCTCGAAATGCAGTCTTTGTAACTGTTTTGCATACTGCAGTCATTTGGGTTTAACTTAACAGGCGAACCCTTTGGTACAGGCTTTAATGCCCCCATTGTAAAACGCACAAATTAATCTCCGGGAACCTCATGGATGGGAAGTAGCAGACAGGCCTGCAACCCAGCCTTGGGACTCTCCATCTGAGCTCTGGCACAGGCCACGTGCCTGTCACACCCCACCCGCAGGGCGGCCTTCTCCTGGCTCCCAAGCTGTGCAGAGCCACAGGCTAGGTCTGACCTGGCAGCTGGAGCTGGAGGAGGAGGTGCAGGAGAAGTGGAGGAGGCAGAGAAGGATGAGGTGAGGACGCTCAGTCCCAGGTGCAATTTACCTGCATTCTGCTGGGCTGGGGAAAGGCCCGGGGGCGGCGGTCAAAGCTCTGTCCCACGTGGTAGGGCGGGAAGCGCCGCTGCCGGTACCGAGGGTAAAACTGGGGTTGGCGCAGCTGGCCCGGGGCCCCCGAGAACTGCCCGTCAGCCGTGCGGGGCTCGAATCCTTCACTGCTGCCGCTCCCTGCCTCCTCCTCCTCCCCAGCGTACTAGCAAAGCAAAGAAACAGAGATTCAGAAGTAGTCCAGCGAGGCGGGAAACGGGAGAATAACATCAGGTCGGATAACGTCACTGAAAGCTTGGAAAATTAACTCCCAGCACCAACGCCTTTGGGAAACAGAAACAGGCAACTCGCATTTAGCCCGGGCGGTCATGATTCCTGGGATAAATGACCGGGACTGAAGTAGATCCGTGCGGCTCAAACACCAAGCAGCAGAAAAGCACAAGCGACCCACAACACACCTAACAGTCGTCTGGCTGGAGCTGGGGAGACTCATCTGAGCAGCCCCCCTGGGGCGCCCAGGGGATTTACAGTGCCCAGCGCCCTTCGCTGCGAGGCCTAACATGGACGTCCACCGAGGGAGAGGCAGGGTAACGCCCAGAAAAATACATGTTATGTTATCAGCATGCTGGACCTAAGCGTCTACAGCAGTTCTCAAAACGTGGCCGGGGTCTGAAGACTTCGGGTGGGCAAGGTCAAAGCGCTGTGTTCTCCACGCTTCTGAGCCGCTGGGGCCGCCTGCGCCTGCTCCTCTCTGCCGCATGCTGGGTGCTCGGGCTCTCCGCAGACTAAAGCACACCTGGGCTGCAGGATCCAGCCACCTTCTATCACACCGTACAGCAAAGAAAGGTGCAGAAGTACAAAGCAATACCACATACTCAGTGTAAACAGCCCTCTTCATAAATTTATACTAACAGGAGTATTTTAAATTTCTTTTACTACATAGATAAACATACACTTAGGATCCTCAATAGCTAAGCATAAAAATGCAGCCAAAAGTCAAAAAGTTTGAGAATCAATGACCTATATGGCATGACTCTTTTTATGTTTAGAACATTTTAATTGCACTTCCTAATACAATTAACTAGGGTAGGGATTAACCATTTCTAAATGCAGACCTCATTTAAAAAGAGAATTAGTAACTCATTTTTTATTATTTTATATATTTAAACTACATCACATATGACCATTTTATATCTTAACAAATTAAAACAAGCATCAAGGTCCCAAGTTCGATCCCCGGTACCAAAAACCAAAAACAAAAACAAGCAAACATCTGTCAAAGCATTTGTGATTTCAAATATTACCCTACAAGGAATATAGAAATCACAAGTAGTCCTTATGGTAAGTAACTACAGTTTTTAAAAATCATTGAAGTATGATATGTACATGTAGCAACTCCCTACAGTGAAATGTAAACATTACACAATGTAAATATGTACTAATATAAATTTAAAATGATACAAACATGTACTAATAAATTTTTTTTTTTTTGGTACCAGGGATCAAACTCGGGTCCTTGTGCTTGCGCAGCAGGCGGCGAAACCACTGAGCTAAATCCCTGGCCCGACTAATAAATATTTTAAAATATTAATAAACAAATTAGCCAGGCACAGTAACATACGCCTATCATCCCAGCTACTGGAGAGGCTGAGGCAGGAGGACTGCAAGTTCAAGCCCTACTTGGGTAACTTAGGGAGATCCTGTCATAAAAATTAAATTTACATAGCTGTGTCAGAAGGCGTTGGGTTCAGTTCCCAGTACCGCACAGCCGTGTGAGGCTGTGCTTCTCACACACACACCAAAACAGTAAGTGGAAGACAGTAGAAACTGTTCACATCATGTCTGTATCTTCTAAGTGTTATGCAGCCAAATATTTCACTGGAACTTTGCAAGACAATAACGAGGCACTGTCACTGCTGACCATACTGACAAGCCACCAGCACTGAGGTACTGAAGCCTCTATTTATGCACACCTTAAGCATTTTGAAAATTTTTTTGTAAGTTATCTTTTCCAGGTCTTAGAGGAAAAAGTCTTTGAGGAAAAATTCTTACTGAAGATTTTTCTATTTTTACTTCAGAATTGGCCTCGCCATCAAAGTAATCTCAGCCCAAGCTCTATAAATCGAATGAACTTAAGAATTCGCAGTGAACACTGCAGTAGCTCACCCTTACACCAGCCTTCACAGCTCATTACTAAAGATGTAGGGAGTCAAGCAAGGGTCAGAAAAAAGAGGACATGTCCTCAGGAATGATGAAACCAACTTGGGCAGGGTGTAAAGCTAACAGAAGAGCAAAATCCATTTACCTAAGGAGAAAAATATGAATCTATGAGCATAGAGATAAATCACTCTCAATTTGCAGGTATTTTTTTTTTTTTGGTACTGGGGATCGAACTCGACCTTGCGCTTGCGTGGCAGGTGCCAGAACCACTGAGCTAAATCCCTGGCCCCAATCTGTAGGTATTTTATTCTGAGACTTTTCAAAAATGTTTCTTTGCATGTCAATGAGTGGCTACCTTCCTGTTTCTGGATTTTGTTATACTGGAGATTGAACCCAGGGCTTCACACTGTGCTATGTATCTCCAGTCCATTTTATTTTTTACTCTGAGACAGGGTCTCACTAAGTTGCTCAGGTTGGCCTGGAATTTATAATCTTCCTGCCTCAGCCTCCCAAGTGCTGGGACTACAGGTGTGTGCTACCATGCCCAGCTAGTAGATACCTCCCTGTACTCACAAAGGATTCTGAGTTTTATTCCATGCTGCTAATCCCTGGTTCTAACTCCAAACACACCAAAAAACTAGGTAATTTTATCCTCTTATTAATTCAAGTCTAACATGGTCCTCACGAGTACAAACAAACTGAGTTCTCTATTTCTGCCTTGAGAATATTCCTTTGAGCTGCTTGCCAGGTATGGTGGCACACACCTGTATCCCAGCATTCAGGAAACTGAGGCAGGAGGATCGCCATGAGTTTGAGGCATTCCTGGGCTACACAGTGTGTTCAAAGCCAGCCTGAACTACATAAAGAGAGAGAGATCCTGTCTCAAAAATAAATAAATAAATAATAGAGCTGCTTAAGCAAAAGCTCTAGCCAGACAGGGCTTGTAAATTTTTTCATCTGGATTGGGACCAATCTAAAGAACTAAAAATCTGAGAATTACTCCTTCTTTACTTTGAAGTAACAGGAAAATGCTATACTGAATAAAATAGCTACTTTGTTGGGGTAACTTATTTCATCCTCTGGGGCCAGTGCTTTACCTACCCATCCCCAAGTGATTCCCTGTTCTTTCTTGCCAAACTGTTTCAGAGGTCAACAGTATCGGTGGCAAGGAAGGAAACAGGAGGTTGAAGCCCAGGTGCCAGTGAACGCCACATGCAAGGTCCTGGCCAGATAAAAAAGCCAAACGAAGACTGAGGCTTTTTCCCAACCCTGAACCACCTATCTAACTCTCCTTGTTCCAAGATAAGTAAATGTCTGGAACTCGCAGCCAATGCCTCCTAACGGATATGACTTCCAGCCGGCAAGTTTCCAAGGAGACCAGTGGCAATGGGTAATTTCTGGGCACTAAACATTTTCTTTTCAAAAAACAAAAATACTAATCACTTGTCCTGTCTCCAGAAGACAGGGGAACTGTCTGCTCCAGGTACATGCTCCAGGTTCATTTTGGACGTGGAAGAATTCCCAACCGCTGATTAGGAACAGAGAAGACATACGCTGCGGGGCGGTCCCCGGCGCCGGCCGTAGTAGCCGCGGCGGTATCGGCGGCGATCGGCGGCATAGCGACTCCCTTCCACAGGGACTCCGTCGGGGCCCGTCACGTTGGCTGCTTCAGCACCCTGAGGAAGAAAAGAGACACAGATGGCCCCCAAATCCAGAAGAGGCCACGCTCGTCCCCCCGAACCACAACGTGGGACAGCTAGTCTCCAAGCGGCCGGCACAGTAAGAATTCCGACCACCATCTCAGAAACCGGCTCATGTTTACAAAGGAGAGGAAGCGCTGCTCTGGTTTAAATGCATCCAGCTGGCCAAACAAACGCTGCCTCCTCGTCCGGCTGTGCCAGGTATGAGAGCTGTGTGCTCTTCAGAGAGTACGAACTGCTCAAAACACAACTGCGAAAGCAGAAGTAATGTGGAACCAGGAACAGTATTTCTCAATGGACCAGAACTGAGGTGTTACCTCCCCAGTTTGCGTTCAAACCTGTTTCACCATAAGCGGTGCCTTGCGTCTCTACTGGCAGGTTCCTGTAGCTCTGTCCAGCACTCAGCTAAGGGTGAAGAAACTTTTCCCACTGTGACGGCCACAGGGGGGTCACGGAGGGGGGGGGGGTTCTTGATTTTGTAACAGTCTGCACACCTCACCCCTCTTTACACCTTCTATTATCCTTGAAACAGACTTAAGGGTTCTTACTCTCATAGGGACAGATAAGTAAAATAATGCGTCAGCCACGTGTGGTGGTGCAGGCCTGTAATACCAGCACTCAGGAGGCGGAGGCAAGAGGATGACTGCAAATTCAAGACCAGCCTGGACTGCAAAGCAAGATTCTATCTCAAAATAAAATTAAATTAAAATAACCAAAAATCTAAAAACAAATTGGGACAAAGGAGACACAAGAGTCAATTTGTAAAACCTCATGTTCGACCAATTCAAAAATGGGCATCTGAAATGAACAGACATTTCTCAGAGAGGTAAAAGCAGCAAATAAACATGAAAAAATGTTCAACATCACTGGTCATTCAAGAGATGCAGATGAAAACAACACTGAGGCTCCATCTCACCCCAGAAAGACTGGCTGCTATCAAGAAATCAACCAAAAAAAAAACAAAAAAGAAATCAACCAGTAACAAATGCTGGCAGGGGTGTGGGGAGAAAGGAAACCTTCTGCATTGTTGGTGGGAGTGCAGACTGGTGCAACAACTGTGGAAATCAGTATGGAGATACCTCAAAGAACTAGGGCTACAGGTCCCATTTGACCCAGCTATTCCCCTGCTGGGTATCTTCCCAAAAGAATTAAAAGAATCATACCACAGTGATATATGTGCACCCATGTTTATAGCAGCACAGTTTGTAATAGCTAAAGCTTGGAAACAGTCCAAATGCACATCAACTGGAAACTGGATAAGATGTGGTTCTTTTATAAAATGGAGTGCTACTCAGCCATAAAGAATGGAAAACTAGAGACATTTATAGCTAACTGGATGCACATTGAGGTCATACTCTTAAGTGAAATAAATAGGACACACTTGTATAAATACTGAATAGTTTCTCTGGTGTGAAAATCTAAAAGTGTAAATAAGAATCAAAATCTATAATTGATATTGTGAAATAGGAAGAAAATGTCTAAAGGAATAGGGGAAATGGGAGGGGAAGGGGAAAGGAAAGAAGGGAAAAGAAAAAATATGAGAAAATGAAAAACATGGAAACAAACTCTTTGTAAATCGGGAAGGATGGACAGGGTGAAGGGAGGGCAGGGGAATGGGGAAAAAATAAGAACCAAGATACATCATGTACAGGTACAAGATCCCAATGAGGAATGTAACATTTTATTCCTAAAATGTACCAATAAACTAAATGGGGGAAAAAAAAACCCTCATGTTTGAAAGCATGCAGAAGTAAAAATAACCAAAACAAAAACTTAAAAGTTGACCGGGGATTTAGCTCAGTGGTTCTGTCACCTTCCTTGCAAGTGCAAGGTCCCAAGATCGATCCCTGGTACCAAAAAAAAAAATTTAACTGCTGGGGATTTACCTCAGTGGTGCCGTGAGGACTGCTTTGTAGGCACAAAGTCCTGAGTTCGATCCCGGGAACCACAAAAAAAGGCACAAAATGAAAAGGTGTGGCAGGGATGACTACAGAGCAGCATTCTGCTGGAAAGTGATGTGCAGCTTCACGAGGTTGGGAAGACAGACCTTGGAGATCGCACTGGTAAAAACACTTCCACATCAAATGAAAATGTTTTTTAGAACAGAACAGCTTGAGGGATGAAAAAGCAAGGGAAATGGAAATGATTGAAGAATGTTATATGCATATATGACTATGCCAAGATGAAATCCGATATTCTGTGTATCTAATATGCACTAATAAAAAAATAGAACTTAAAAAAAAAATTGAGAGCTGCTAATGCAGACAATGGCTTGGCAACTTAGTGAGATACTGTCCCAAAATAAGAAATAAGGGGCTGGGGACATACCTCAGTATAAATGCCCTGGTTCCAATCCCTACTACCATGCCACAAAAACAGTCTCTGGGATGATGTTTGTGTGGGAGAGGGCTTGTGGAGACAGGGTCCTGCTATTTTGTTCAGGCTGGCCTGGAACTCAAAGTAATCCTCCTGGCTCAGCTTCCCAGGGCTGGGATTACAGGCCTGTGCCACCACACCCAGCAACAGGGAAAGTTTTTAAATGGTTTTAATCTTGGTCTACATTGTTTTACTGATATGTAACAGACTACTGAGATGAAAACACAAGGGCAGTAGTATTATACTTTATATACACAATGGCAGAAAACAAATCTGTAGATATTCTTCCAGATGAGTCCTCAGCTTTGTGGATTGAACTCTTCTAAACAAAACTTTCACAGAGCCTGTCAGTGTGCTTTCAGCTTTTCAAAATCCAACCCCAAAAGAGAAAGCAATGAGTATATTCCATTCAAGTGAATCTCCTTTTATTGAGAATCAAGTACTCTTAGCTGTGCGTAATTTCTAAGCAGAAGTGTTTACAAATCAGTCTGAAACTTTTATCAAAAGATATCTGCTCTAAAGCAGCTTTCATCTATATTTACTGCCTTAAGGCAGTTCACTTTTAATATTAGGTTCCAAAATAAAACTGACCTCTTTAAAATTTTGAGAAACTAGCTTTTCCATAAAGTTTATCATTTATTAAATGAAAAATTGAGGTTTTAAAAAATATATCCAAGTATGTTTATAATCACATTAAAAAATCAAAGATATTTCTACCTAAAACTTACTTCCTCCTATCATAGAAAAATAATCTAGAGTAGGGCTGAAGACTATTACTCACACAGCAAAAGTATGAAGCAGCATTCTTTGTTGCCTGACCACAATTTCTCACCTTTTCTCCTTCAACCACATCAAACTCCACAGTTTCTCCATCTCCCACGCTCCGCAGATACTTGCGGGGGTTATTCTTCTTGATGGCAGTCTGCCAAGGAAACAGAAAATCCCATTTGAGGTCTAGGTCAATTCTGGCCAATACTGAAATGATTCACTGCTGTCAAGTTGACACACGTGGACCTGCAGAAACTGCTGGCCTATTATCACTTTTAAATCATTCTCCTCCCACAAACCAATGGTCTCCGAAACAACAAAACAAAACAAAAAACGCTATAGGACGGTACTCCACATTACTTCCTGGTTTGTGCTATTCTTCGAAATTCACCTTGGTAGTGAGAAACAGTTACTACAAACCTGTTATACCCTGATCACTGAGTCGTGATGGTGAATAGTTATGTCAAACTATTAACCTTCTAAGATTCTGACTGTAGCTCCATCAGAAAGGGAGGGAGGATCCTGCTTTATGAGATTTTACGTAGAAAAACACCCACTGTGTTGGAGAAACTGCTAACTTCAAAGTAATTTCTGAGCTGGGTGTGGTAGCCTATGCTGGTAATCCCAGCCTTCAGGAGGCTGAACCAGGAGGATTGTTGCTGGGAGCCTGAACTACACACCAGACACTGTCTCAAAACAACAACAAAGTAATTTTTGAAATATAGGTTGCATAGTGGATGATAAATAGAAAAAGGAATAAAAAAATGCCAGAAGGACAAATAGCTGATAGAGTAAGCATGAAGACCTGAGGAATTAAAGCAAGTTAGTGCTGGGTGTAGCAGCACATGCCTTTAATCTCAGTTCCTGGAGAAGCTGGGGCAAAAAGATCACAAGATCACAAGCTCAAGGCCAGCCTGAGCAATTTAGCTGGACTGTCTGTCTCAAAACAAAAATAAAGTGGGTTGGGGATGCTGCTCGGTGCCAGGCTTGTGCAGCGTGTGAGGCCCTAGGTTCAACACCCAGTACTGAAAAAAACACAGTATTTCCTCTCCTCTGCGGTCCCCTCTTACGGTCAAGGAAGGTCAAGGAAACGTGAGGGGCTGACAAGTGATTTATCCGAAGTTACAGGAAAACAGAAAATCTATATCCCTGTGCTATTCAACATGTTTGCCTTGACACCATTCATATTCCAGCTGATAGGTCTTCTGATAAAACACTGAATACGTAATAATACACATGAAAAGATTAATGAGGGTGCTATTCTGCATGAATATCTGCTTACGCAAAGGCGTTTCTCTCTCCAGCAATGGATCGGAGGGAGTAATTGCTGCTCCCAGTTCCCATTTGCTTGGCTGGCCTCTCCTCCACAGCTACAGGGGCTGAGTCTGCGGAAGTAGGTCAGCCTTGCTTTATAAAGCAATTAGGCATGTGGAAGGCAGCCCTTCCCCTACTGAGTAGGAGGGAGAGAAAAATAAGGGAGGCGGTGGGGCAGAGGCCTCTCCTACGGGGAGGAGGCAGCTCAGCTCCGGACAGGATACTGCGCAATGCGGCTGGCTCCCAGGCAGCCCCTCCCTGCCGGCCAGCCCTTCTTCCTGCAGAACTGGGCAGACCTGGCCCCGGCACACTGCCGTGACTCACTCCAGCTCCTGGGGCTGGAGTCAGGTCAGACTCGGCCCTGCTCTCCTCCAGGGACGCCTGCGGACCTCCGGGTATCATAGTAACATTTCCCTTTTAGTCTGTGAGGATCTGAGAGATCCCTGTATCTCAATTAAAAATCAACTGACTGTGCAATAGAAATGTACACGGCCAAGCAGAAATATAAAGGATAAAAACCACAAGCAGGGAGAGCTTTTCAGACATTTATCTCCAACACCCAAACGCCACCTCAACACACACAAAAATGGATGGAAACAAAACCAGAAAACCAGATGCGTGACAAAGCCCTGCAGGTGAACACGCCTGAGTCCCTGCCATGGATTTCCTCCTAGTCCTGGGTGAAAACTCCTACTTCAGGCAGCTCAGAAAACCACAGGGACAAAAGGAATGGGGAAGATAGGTGTAACTCCTCTTAAACTATTTTCCAGAGAGCAATTCAGGATACGTAGTAACAGAATAAGTAACATTCAAGGTCAAGCGCTGAAAGAAAGACTGAGACACTTGTTAGCAGAGAAATTCACCTCAATATCTTCCCATCTTACCCACTTTCGATTATTTCCTTCAAACGGAAGGACCTGGACATGTGCTAAGCACTCCTCGTTTTAACAAGAGGGAGGACTGTCCTGGGAACCAAGAGTTTCCTGACATCTTAGAGGCACACACCCTGTGCATCTGCTTGCCCGTGCTGAGCACCACGAGGTAGAGGACAACTGCTAAGCAATGCCCTGGGATGGGGAAAGGATGCTAACACAGATACGAGACTTTGCTACGGCCGAAGAAGCTTTAAAAGGAGAACTGAGCTCCTGGGGGGGGGGGGGGGGACGACGACAAAAAAAACCTTCACAGAAAGTTTAATATACAATTATAATTTTCAGGTCTCACTTCGGGGAAAGGGACACTTTCCAGACATCTCTCCTCCCGCAGCAAAACGCAACGCTTATCAACCCTCTTACCTGATGGACAAATACATCTTCTTTGGTGTCATTTCTGTTGGGAGACAAAAAAAACTCGGTAAAAGGTCCTAAATATGTAGAGAAACTGAAGAACAGGTATGTTACGAATTTAGTCCTCAAGACCTAAAAATCCAACATAAAAGTTTGCTTGTCCTCCTCACCCAATCCAGACAGCTAGTATCAATTCCTCATTAAAACTTGTAACTCAACAAGACACCCACCTTACCCTCACATCACCACAGTGCCTAGAGAGGATTCGGCAGGCAGGAACAGCCCTTCCTCAGTCACATGGCCCTGGGTAATCAGAGTCCCGCGTTTTCCGCCCAGCAGAGGCAAAGCAAGACAGTTAAAAGGACAGGCAGGGCACAGCTGTGAAGCAAGCTCTCCTTACACTGAAATTTAAAACAGCCACCCCAACCCCACCCCACCCACACCGACAGGAACAAACTGGAAGACAGTAACATCCCCAGAAAACACCTCCAACTCTCCCTGGAGTCTGCAGCTGCCCTTGCTCCTAGTGGGAAGGAGCAACTGCAGCTGAGAAGCCCTGGTTCCATGGGGACCGGGCCAGGCGAGTCCAGTACTCAGTGCAACCTTAGCCTTAGGAGAGCTGCCTGGCAGTGCAGGGCTTCACTGCTCCTCCTGGGAAATGAGGGACATGGACTTATTTATCCTAAGTCTCTTCCCGCTTCTCATTTTATTTTTAGCTATCCTCTTCTTTCTTTTTTTTTTTTTTTGGTACCAGGGATCGAACTCTGGTCCTTCTGCTTGCAAGGCAGGAAGTGGAACCACTGAGCTAAATCCCCAGCCTACCCTCTTCTTTCTTTTCATGATTAGATTTATGAAATAAGCTTGAGTTCTAGAAATTCATTTTAATTAATATTTGATGACCATTAGCTTAGAATATTTACAATGCTAAGAAATCTTCAAACTTACACAACGCACTAATAAAGTATGGTAAGAGATCTGTTGTAATGGCAGATGCCGCGACACAAGCATAAATTTAAAACACATAGACACACACATACCGATTTATAAACCCATATCCATTTCTGACGTTGAACCATTTAACGGTGCCAAGGACTTTGGTGGCTGAAATAGGATTAAGCAGACAAATTAGTATATTGACCTACAAAGAGATAAAGCTCATACCACTGAGATCTTGATAACATTATACAAAGGCCTAAAGCTACCTGACCGAACCACTAATAGCTTGATTTCAAAATAAATTAGGAAAAGAAAATAGAGCAAGTGATGATACCATAGAGATACGCTGCAGAAGATGACTTCTTTCTTGTGAAACTTTTCATTAATAAATTGGATGCTAGCTTGGTACTCACCACCCTGACACTGGTAGTATCAGGCCTTTTCCAGCGACCTGGGCTGGTTTCATTGTTTACCTTACTCTCTGGAGTTTGTGGGAATCAAACTGGCATTTTCTAGTAAACCCCCTCTTTAACTTGACCGCTGTCTTTCCCTTCTGTCACGAGCAGGACCACTTTACTACTATGACAAATTTTAGCAGAATTTCTAAACAAACCATGACTTCATAGAACTTGTCCTAAACATGCCACAGAACATGTTTAACTGTTTTAAACATGATCCTTGGGACCAACTGCAAACGTCAAACTCAGTATCTCGAAGGAAACGCCTATGACTAAATTCAGAAAATGTACAATGCAATTATCAAGTCTCAGTGAAACAGTAAATCCAACAGATTACATTTTTTAAAAAGCTTAGTAGAGAATGGAAGTAATAATTAACAGTAATCCACACTCCCTCTCTATTAGTACAAGGTTTATAATAATTTCCAAGGAAAAGCAATAAGGGTTCAGTTTTTAAATTCAAAGCTAAAACAGTGACCAGGGCTCGCTTTGGTGTGGGCAGGGTTAGTCCTCAGTCTGCCAGACTGATGTGCTTGGGCAAGTCTTCCAGCTTTCTTTGTGGAGGAAAAAATCCTGTACGTCTCCGACGACAATCAGCCCACATTAACTGTGCATTCTCTAGTCCTAACCCAAGCAGAGTACTTCCAACAGAAAGACCCAATCACCAGAATCTTTACTTTGAGGTCAGAGGAAGAAAAGCATGAGATGTTTCGGATGTAAATGTACAAAGAAGCCAATTTTTGATCAATTATACGCAGTTCAGTCATACATGATTCCAAATAATACGATTTTTTGTGATTTTATTTGCCAAAAACTAATAACCTAGGAACACAAACATAGGAACTGTTTTTAATGTCTATCACGGTCGAAATAACCTTCGTTAGAAAGGCAGTGTTAACAGGGGGTAAAGATGAGAAGCGATTCTCAAGTCTAATGTAGTACAGGCTGGAAGCTATTTTTAATTCTCCAGTGTTTTTTAATTCCAGAATTACTTCCAAAGACTTCAGAGGCTGACAAATCCATTCACATTCTTGTTTTAAAACCCTAAACCTACTTCACAGCACTAAGGGAAAGGGGGACAGAATAAAAACCATAAGGCTTTCGTGCTGTTCATTAGAAGTCTTATTTCACTCATGTCAACTACTTTCCCTACAGACTCAAGACCCACTTGCAAAAACTAGAATCAGAGAATCCCAGAGCAGATATCCATTTCAGTGCACTGTGTCTGGCACATTTTAGGCATCCGTGTGTTTCCTTGGCAACCGACGGGGATTGGCAGAACGCACAGGCCAGACAGCACTGACTTGTCAAGTGCAAGGCCGATCTTCATTATGAGAGCCTGAACTTGGGAAAGATGAAAGATTCATCCTAGGCTCTGGGCACGCAGAATGGCAGCTGGCGTTGGAAAAGCCAACCTTCATGTCTTTCCTCATCTTTCAAGATAAAATCTACTTTCTTTATTCCAAGATCAAGTGAAAACCTGCATGAGTTCCTCTATTCTAAAGTAAGGCAAGCTGGGCGTGGTGGCACACACTTGTAATCCCAGCTCTCTGGGACGCTGAGACAGGAGAAGGGCCAGTGTGAGCCCAGTTTGAGCAACTTCAGGGACCCTGTTGCATTGGGGGAAAAAAGTAAAAAAGTCTGTCTGGGGTGTAGCTCAGCAAGAAGGCTCTGGATTCCATCTTCCTGCACCACCAAAATAATAACGTGTCATTAGGAACACATCTTAACACTGCTTGGGACAACACCATGAGGCTGTCTCATTTTACGTGGAAGGATTCCAAGGAAAGCTTGGTGGAAACAACATCCCAGTGCAACATTCACTGCATTTGAGCAACTTTTAGTCCAACAAACAGCGAGTGTTACACTCATGGTTGGCAGGAACTGCGGGTCTCTGGAGGTGGGGAGTACTGAATCACAGCACGTTTCCCTTATATTACTCCTTACACTTACAGCCGGTGGGGCGAGAAGGCTCAGGGAGAGCCAAACATGCCCCACCCAGAGCGGAGAAAATCTCTCGGGCGGCCCACGCGGCGGCCAACTTTCCGGTTTCCGCGAGAACCGGAGCGCACGCCCGCCTCCGCCTGTCCGGGCTCCCAAGGCGTCACCGAGGGTGAGCGCGCCCAGAACTGTGGCAGCACAACAGGCCCCCAGCCCCTCTGCCCGTCCCCACGCCTGCACTTCCCACCCTCCTGCCTCCGCCTCCTTCCTCGGTGACGAGCCCCGAGGTCGCCGCGGTCGCCCCACTTCCGAGTTCCCGGCCGCCGCCGCACGTGCGCGCCCGGAGCGGGGCCGGGATCCGGGCCCTCCGAGGGGAAGGGCGTCGGGGACGACACCCGAGCCTCACCGATCGCGGGCGACGGCCCCAGCCCGGCCCACGTGTCCGTCCCCGCGCCGCCCGGCTCCGCTTCCCTCCGGGGCCCAGCATCTCCCCAGGGCCCGCCGGGGACTGCGCGCCCGCCCCGCTCACCGAGAACTTTCTTCTCCGCGTCTTCGCCGCCGGCCGGAGCCGCCGAGGCGGAGGCGGCGGGGCTGGGGGCTGCGGACGCCGCGTCCCCTCCCGTGCTCCCCGCGGCCGCGCCGGGGCCAGCAGGGGTCGGAGGCGCCGCGCCCGGGCCAGCAGGGGCCGGGGGCGCCGGCGGGGGCGCGGCGGCGCTGGTGGAGCCGGGGGCCTGGCCCGCCTCGCTCATGCCGCTGCTCGCTCGGGCACTCGGCGGCGGTTGGCGGCGGCGGCGTTGCTGGGGCCGGGGCTCGCGGGGCGGTAATAGTCCGGCTGCGCGCGCTCGGCTCGGCGCGATCTTACTGCCCCGAAAAGGGCCCCGCGCGCTTTTCTAGGCGGCCGGGGGTGGGGACGCGGCCGCGGGCGGCGCTGTCATTAGCATTTAAAGGCCCCGGCGCGCGGGAGCAAGCAGGGCGGGGGCCTGGACCCCGGGCGGAGCTGCGCCAGGGCCTCGCCTGCCCCCCAACGCCCCGCACCTGGCCCGGGCCCAGGGAGCGAGTGGGGCTCCCCGCCGCCGGCCCCCCAACTCTCCGAGGAAACCTCCGCACGCAGCGCTCACCGAGCACCAGAAAGTACCCTCGGTACAGCCGTGAGAACCAGAGAATCAAAAATTTAAGACTATTTGGCAACTTAGCCCTGAGAGGTGATTTATGGATAATTTCCTGTATAACCCACAGGTGGGAAAATTGAGGTCCGGACCTCAGAGAATTAGTATCAATTCACAGATTACACCAATCTAAACGCCAGGGAGAAGGACCTTTCCTATGTATTTCAGTGTACATGAAAAACGTGGGCTACACCCTGGCCTGCCTGCTGCTCCCGCTGCGCCTCAGCTGGGAAAGCTTGAGCAACTGCAGCCTCTTAGCTCCAGGAGGAGAGGTGGAGACAGATCCCCGGAAACATTCCCAGTGGAGGGAAGAGCCCAGGGGCCTGGCAGTGAGCTGGGCTCTGGGCCCCAGGACTGTAGGAAGGCAGGGCTGTCTGAGACCTGGTAGCCAGGCGTTTTGGCGGGGCTCTTTATTAACACTAACTGCAGCCAGGAATTCGGTGTGCCAGTTTCAGTTTCCCCTTTGATGAGTTTCTCACAGGTGCTGCGACAAATAGATGAGACTGTCATACGTGACTATCGGGTCCAACAAAAGCTCTGTTCCTCTCCGCTGGCCTGAAAACAGTAAACGTTTTTACAAAACAAAAACAAAAGACCAAATTCGTCTACATTCATGTAGTTATCTATATATTCCTTGTTAACATGAAACTATCCTACCTCCTCCTTCCTTGCTTCCTAATTGTATCCATGAGAAACACAATTTAAAGAAAATAAATTATTAGAAAAAATAGCAAAATATGAAACTGGATTTTTCTATGTCATTCATATATATTTTGGGGTCTCCGAATCCATAAATGTTAGATTCATATTTTTGTTTTAATGTAAAATATACAGTAATGTCACACAAATGTATATATCTAAAAATGGTAGTATAATTCTAACCATAAATTAATTCTTAAGTTTGACAGATTGTGGTCTTTAAAATCACAAGCATGATTTTTTTCTGATGGGGATGGCCATTGATTTTCTTCCCCAATAAAATAATTATCCTTGTTATTTATCATTCAGAAATGGATAACAAGGGAAGAAAATGAGAGGAGTTGACCTCCTCAAACTGCTTCAATAGTCAAGCCTTCAAAAAAAAAAATATTCAACCCCTGGAAAATAATGCATAATGAACAGGTGTTGTTTCTAACCTCTAGAAGACCCTAAAATAATTACAGATGCACTCCAAGATTTCCTAGAATTTGTGTTAGAATGGACCCCAAAATGGCTCATGATTTTCATCCAAGAAAAGCAGCTGGGAGTTCTAGGTACTGTGCTCAATAAATCTAGAGAGAATTGATGCGAACAAAGCATGGTCTATGCTTAATAATCGAGGTAAGAAATGACTTGCAAGCCGGGTGTGGTGGCACCCACCTGTGATCCCAGCACTCGGGAGGCTGAGGCAGGAGGATCACTGAGAGTTCGAGGCCAGCCTGGGCTACAAAGTAAGTTCAGGGCCAGCCTGAGCTACAAAGCGATGCCCTGCCTCAAAAAACAAACCAAAAAAAAGAAATGACTTGCGTACAGATGTACACGTTCATTCATTCCTTCACTCCCTCATTGATTCATATCTTTACTAAGCACACCCTACATGCCAAAGTGCTACATTATTTGTATCTATGGTTGATCATAATGATGCTTGCTTCAAGATTTTTAGGTGATGTGAAATATTTTCTCACTAGCATTTCTATTGTAAGAAAATATCACTACTTCTTAAAGGGGATGAACTGGATGAGAAACAACAAAGAGGATCATAATCTAATTGCTGACAATCATTTTTAAGCAATGACTAGTTAGGTCATGGAAATGACAGCCACTGTACTCCTAGCATGAAGAGAGTTAGAGCCCACACAACCCTGGGAGTTGTGTGAAGGGAGGACAGGCAGACTCTGCTGGATACCTCCGACTCCAGCCGAAGGGTTTCTCCAAAAGAAGCCACTAGAGTCATAAGAACTCTAGGAAGTTTTCAGCCTTTCTGGGCTAGATCCAGGTTCTGTGAGGCCTAAAGCCAGTACAAGTTAGAGAGCCCTCTTTAAAAAAGAAAAAAAGTAAAGCTCTGATAACAAAATTGCTAGGGCCACTGGCAGAGGATCAGAAAGGATCCCTTCAAGGGTCCTTGTCCATGCAAGACCAGAGCTGGAAGCCCCTCACCTTCTCAGCAAGCCCACACCTGCTCCGGCTGTCTCTGTCAGTAGCGCAGATGCAGCAGCTTCTCAGCCTCACCTGGAAGCAGCTTGGAACCTCCATCTGCCCACATATCTTCCTGGACCCAACAGGGAAATAATGGTACCCCCCCACAACCACTTTCTAAATCTAAAGTGAGTGTCTCTCATTGACAGACTCCAACCTGGCTCTCTGAAGGTTAGGAGATGCTGGGAAATGTAGTTCCTGGCCTTGAAGAGGCTAGGAAGGATGATGCATTGACATGAGGCTCTCCAGCTTCTCACCCTAAGGACAAAAATAGTGAGCTGGCTAAGGAAGGTCAGGAGACTTCCAGCCATCCGGGGGACTGGAGCATCAAGCAAGGAAGCCTGGACACCTTAGCATCTGAAAGTAGAAAACAGCGAAGCATTCGGCTGAACCAGATTGGTGGTAAAAGCAACACAGGCGGAGAGCAGTCAGCCTGGAGTCCATAAGGAGGGTGAGAGCCAGGTGGAAGAGGAAGAGCGTGTCCAGCAGTGTTCGGAGGGGAAGGGCCCTAATGCTTCTATCCTGTTTGGCATTCGCTGATAATGCAGTCAGTGTCTTTACCCGGATCATCCTGTTTGGTGTCAAGGACATCCTGCAGGATGAGGCAGGAATGGCCCCTGTATTCAAGAATGCAAGCCCCAGTTACCAGCCACATACATAACTTTAAATTTTCTGGCAGCCACAGGAAAAAAAAAAGTAGAAAGAAACAAATTTTAAAAATTATTTTTTGAGATAGGGTCTCGCTATACAGTTCAGGCTAGCCCTGAACTCACTATGTACCCCAGGCTGGCCTCGAACTCAAGGCAGGTGATCCTCCTGCCTCAGCCTCCCAAGTGCACCTGACAAGACCTAAGATTGTTAAGGCAGAGAGAGAGAGAGAGAGAGAGAGAGAGAGGGAGAAGAAAAACAAAAACACTGATTATTTTGGGCCAGGGATTTAGCTCAGTAGTTCTGCCGCCTGCCTTATAAGCACAAGGTCCCAAGTTTGATCTCTGATACCAAAAACAAACAACAAAAAACCCCCATTATTTTAGCACATGTTGATTCCATATAAAAGTATTTGTTTCTGAAGTACTTTGCCCCATTTATTTGTCTTGCTTCTCTTTTTTCCTAAGGCTTTTAGAAAAATTCTTAGTACAGTTTGGGTTGAGGAACTTGAAAAGCTTATCTTATAAATAAGAACTGAAATGAAAGCTGATCAATTTCCAGTTCGTCCTCACCTGTGTTAGAAAGTACAGGCTGAGGCACGGAGAAATGAATGGCTTTCCAGGCTGAGCTCCTGTGCACAGGGATGAAGCTATGACCGAGGCCCGAGGCTCCCTTCAGTCCTGTGTGCTGGGTCAGTTCTCCCACTTGCTGCCATGGATACAGAGGTGCTGGCTCCTGGCTGAGTGAGTGACCGGAATCTGGCACACAGCACAGAGGATCTGTAGCTCTGGCCTCCCTGCAGGAAAAGAGCCAGGCCTCCTGGCCACTCACCATCCAGATCTTTCCAGGTAAGGCTCTGGAAAGGAAACCAAGCAGCTTGGTAATTGTCTTTCAGAGCCCTTTGTAACTCACTTTTTGAAATAATGAATAAAATACAACCTCTTCTTCCTGCGAAAAGCTTCCTTCTGCTTCTTTCTGTACATATTATCCCCACCCCCTTTTTGATGTGTTCTGTTTTGCTTTGTTTCAGACAAGGTCTCACCACGCAGTTCAGGCTGGCCTTGAACTGGCTGTGTAACCCAGGCTGGCCACAAACTCGCAGCGATCCTCCTGCCTCAGCTTCCAGAGTGCTGGGATTACAGGCATGCGCCACCACACCTGCCTCCCTTTTTTAATCTGCTTGCTTTATTTATTCTTTGCAACTTCCCTTTGTGTCATTATTTAGGAATGAAGTCTAATGGATTGTGTAATCTATATTCTTGTCTAGAAGACAAGCTGTGTTTATTTTTGGTCTGTGTAGTAATTCTTCCACGCACACTCTCATCCAGCTGAAGAGGAAAAAGAGAAAGCTAGACTGCATCTCTCCTTGAGTTTTTGCTCCTTAAATTCTTCCTCCTCTGTGTGGCACTGTGAAGCACCCCTAGGCCCTTCACACTGAGCTACACCCTCCCACTCCCCACCCTTTGAGACAGGGTCTCCCTGTGTATTTCAGGCTGACCTTGAGCTCACTGTCAATCTCTTGCCTCAGCCTCAGGTTCTGGGATCATAGCTGTGTGCACCACGCCCGGCTCTTTTTTCTTCTCTTTGAATGGAACCCTTCCTCCTAGCAGGGTGGGGTGCTACATATGTTTCATCGAAGCAGTTGGGAGGCTGAGGCAGGAGAGTCACCACAAGTTTAAAGCCAGCCTGGGCCACATAGTGAGTTCAAGGACAGATTGAACTATAAAGCAAGACACTGTCTCAAAAAAAACCCCAAAACATAAAACGAAACAAATTGAACTTTTCCTCTGAGTCAGATTTTCACTGGATCCCTTTAAAGTCCTTACCAGCTCACTGGAATGATCTGCTCTTTCGGAGATATTTATTAACTGGGTTTTGATGTTCCCCTGACTTGG